GCATGTGTGTACACTCGGATGCATACAAATAAAGTAAATACATTTTTCTTTCTTTCTTTCTTTCTTTCTTTCTTTCTTTCTTTCTTTCTTTTTTCTTTTCGAGACAGGTTTCCTCATAGTTTTGGAACCTATCCTAGAACTCATTCTATAGAAAGGGGGCAGGAGAAACCTTAGTAGACTCACTTCTCTACACCTTCGAATTTGCAATTCGATGTGATTATTACCTTAAGGCTTGGTGAAAAAAGGCTTTGTCCTCTGTGCTTAGATTTACAGTCTAATGCTTTACTCAGCCAGTTTACCTGTTTGTTAACCGTTGGCCTCGAACTCACAGAGAGAGGCACATGTTTGAGGTCACAGGACGATTTGTGGGAGTCAGTTCTCTCCTTCCACCATGTGGTTGGTCTGGATTTTGAGCTCACGCCACCAGGATTAGAAGCAAGGCAATGGCAACGGCGGGGGTCAGGCACTCGGCCGGGCTGAAGCTAACATCTCAGGTAACCACTCTGCCACCTTTACCCTCAAGGCCACCACATCTGCCTTTTCTGATACAAGGTGACAGCAAGCTACTTGTCACCTCCCGTAACTGAACCTAGGGGAAGTAAGGCTACAGAGAGCATGGCCCCACCTATGAAACACCAGGCCCCAAGCTCAGAAAAATCAGCACGAATCATAATTTGGATTGTTTTGGATGAATATGTTTTACTCTGGGAAGAATTTCATGTCTTTGAATGTTAAGCTATTTAATGAGAGCCTAAAGCAAATGCACTTGTTTCCTGCCTCTTTGTTAGAATGTAACAAACTTCAGAAGCTGGCTATGACTATGAAGGGCCAGGCAGAGCAAAACAACAAGAAACTGGGGAAGGGGTCCTCCCTGCAGCTCACCGGGACACCAACAGGCAGGGCAGGCCAAGCTCTGGCTTAGTCACCTTCATTCATGGCAGGTGTCAGGCACTGGGCGGGGCTGAAGCTAACATCTCTGGTAACCACCCTGCCACCATCCTGGGACAGCAGAAGTCTTGCTTTCCATGTCTGCAAGTGGAATTGGCCACAGGGGCTGCAGAGGCAAAGGCAGAGGCAGAGACAGCCCACTTCAGGGACTCTGGTCCTTCTAAGAAGATGTTCCCGCCTCAGCAGTCACTGTTGCCAGGCAATGACAGAAGAATCTTGCCTGCCAATCAAGGACGCACTTGACTTCAACCTGGGTGCTCTGCCGGGCAATGGGAGTCACTATTGTTGGGACTCTAGAAAGCCGGGATCCCAGCCACACAGACCCTCCCTGGCCCCTGTCTATATCAGGAAGCCAGTCAACGGGGCTGTAGCCTGGTTGGCCCACATCCCATTGAGCCTGGCCAGGAAAGTCACAGCCCGGGTTGCCTTGAGTTCCAGGATGGGGACATGGAGATAGTTCTGAGACAGAGTCTTAGTGAGTGTTCTATTGCTGTGAAGAGACACTGTGACCAAGGCAACACTTATAAGAGAAAACATTTAATTGGGGCTTGCTTACAGTTTCAGAGGGTGAGTGCGTGCTTGTGTGATCATCGTGGTGGGAAGCAGGCAGGCATGGGGCTGAAGCAGTAGCGGAAAGCTTTATATCCTGATTTGCAGGAAGCAGGAGGGCTGGGGGAAGAGACACTGGGCCTGGCATGGGCTTTTGAAACCTCAAAGCCTACTCCTAGTGACACACCCTCTCCAACAAGGCCATACCTCCTAACCCTCTGACAATTCTTTAACTAAGGACCAAGCATTCAAATATATGAGACTAGGGAGCCCGTTCTCATTAAATCCCCACAATAGCCAGGCTGACCTGAAACCTGCCATCCCCCCGCCCCACAATCTCCTTTGGCATTGCCCACCGCCTTTTTGTTGGTTCCACACACTCCTGAGTGCTGGGATTACATGCATGTGTATCCCATGCATTCGGGAAGGGTCCTGGGAGGAGCTGGCACCCACAAGGTGCCAGCCACCCTGGCTTCAGTCCAACCTGTGGAGGGGCGTTGAGTGGACAGGTTGTTGTCCCTCTCTGACTCCATTTCAACATCACAGCACCCTTGGCCAGTTGTTCTTTAAGTGGTGGTGGAGGAGGGAAGGGGGCGTCAATAGGAATCAGGGCCGGCTATCTATTTTTGCCACAAACCTCTCAGGACAAGGCAGGAACTCTATAATACCTATTTGAAGTGAGGCAAGGCCTAGGCTCTGAGAGGTGGGGCCACATGCCCAGTGTCACACGACTCCTGAGTAGCTGAGTCAAGATTCCAGTTTCTAAGACAACTCTATCATCAGCTCCGATGCGTGAGAAACACCTGTGACGATAAGACCCAAAGGCCCCAAGCCTGTCGTCCGAAACAGACTGCGGCTCAACACATACCAAAGCATGGGATCCTTTCCCAGAATTCAACAGCAGCCTTCTTGCCTTCCTTCCCCTTACTAGCCAGAAGTCAGGCGACAAGAATGTTCCAGTTGGGCAGGAAGGGGCTGGCAGCCTACAGTCTAGGCATCTATACTGGCCTGCTGGGAATGGGAAATGAGGGGGACAGAAATCTAGGTAGAGAGAAAGCCCTGGGAGGTAAGGGGTACTCTGCAGGCCACAGCAGGGCAGGGCTGGGGCGCTCACCATTGCTCCTTTCCCTCTCGTATTAGTCAGGGTTCTCGAAAGGAAGAGAACCGATAAATGAACATACGTGGGATTGTTAGAGTGGCTTACAGGAAGGAGCCGATACAGGCAGCCTAACAATGGCTGCCTCACATTAGAGAGGCTGAGAATACGGAAATTGCTGAATGTTTCAGCAGCCCCAATCTGACGGTGAAGGTTCCTGGAGAGCTGATGGTCTTCAGTCCACACTGGATTCCCAAAGAAGCTGGTGCTAGTGTCGACTAAAGAACCCCACAGCGACAGGAGATGGGTTTGCCAGGGAGAGGGGGGACAAGCAGACAAAAAGGCTTTCTTCGCTGCCCTTTCATCTGGGACCAGAAGGTGACACTCACTTAGGGTAGGTCTTCCTGCTTCAACTAATATGACCTAGAAAAATCCTTTACAGGTTGATTTTAGCTGATTTCGGATGCAGCCAAGTAGACAATGAAGATTAGCCCTGGCCCACACCTCTATTATTATTTTCTTTGTTTTTTGAGGTAAAGTCTATCCTAAGCTAACCTTGAACTTATGATGATTCCACTGCTGCCTCCTGAGGGCTGGGATTACTGAAGTAACCCACCAGATCTGGCTCTATTATTTCTGCTGCTTTTGCTTCTCAAGGAGGCCGGAGAAAGAGAGGGAATTAAGGAGACATAGGAGGGAAAGGAGCTCCTCACGCTGGAGTCTGACTGAAGACTCTTGACAGCTGAGAGTCACACGTCCCAGCACAATGAACGCTTGCTGTGATGGCTGGCGGCCTACACAGCACAGAGGTTTCTCTTCACAGAGAGATTTCAAAGAATGTTAGCCTAGCAATGAACTGTGCTCCAGTCCTGATCGTGTATGACAGCTTCCCTTTCCCAAAGAGAAATGGGCAGCTTTCTAGGAACCCCATTTGCAGTAACGGGTAGGTCTTAACCCCCTGTGCAGCCTGCGACCCAGTTTTACCTGACCAGATAACGGTCCTGCAAGGCATCGCCGGAGAAACTGTATAATCTCATTTATCCAAAAGGGAGAAGAAAAGAAAAGAAATTACTCACCAGCCGCTTGAGCTGTCACTTGAGAGCCACTCAGATCACACATGTATCAAGGGCAGTTGTCAGGACCTGAAGTTAGAGGCTCTCTTGAGAAGCCACACTCACACGCTCAGGTGTGACCTATCCCTTCCCTGAGCGCCTCTTCTAGCTCCCCTGTTTAAATCTACATTTAAATCTCTCTCTCTCTCTCTCTCTCTCTCTCTCTCTCTCTCTCTCTCTCTCTCTCTCTCACACACACACACACACACACACAAACACACACACTCTCTCTTTAACAACATGCTTCACACTGGCTCTACAGAAATTCCTTTCTTCCACAAAATCGAGGATAGGGACCTTCTCAGGCTGCAGGTGGCAGTGCTGGCCCATTTCTCTTTCAAGGCCTCTGAAGCTGCAGAAGAAAGCTGTGGTTGAGAAATGAAGGCTGAGCCACCGAAAGCCACATGCTTAACCTGATTCCTGCCTGAAGCATCCCCTTCTCCGGGAATCTGTCAGCTTTATGAAAACACATACATCCATTTGCTCAGCCAACAAGTATTCGTTTATTAAAATATGTGCGACAATTATTGGCTTAACGTGGGAAGGCCTGCTGTTCAGGCTGGGCGGAAATGGTGACAAGGCTGTCTAGGTCCCTGCTTATAGGAGTTGGACATTGTGGAAAGGGTGGCCTTTTCTCCCGTCCCCCCTTGGCCACATGCACTTACGTGGATGGAGCAGGCATGGCTCTAGTTCTGGACCTCAACTTGTGCCCCAACAATGACAGCAGGCAGCAGGTCAGATTCAGACCTCCTACCGGGCAGTCAAGTGGAGTGAGTGCGGGTGTTCCTGGAAGCTCACCCTCTGAGGGGCATTCTCTAAAAGTGTCCTGGGAACTTAGGAGAACCTCAGCCCTCAATGGTGCAGTAATTGCAGTTAGGATGAGCCCCGACTAGGGAGCAAAGATGAGGGTAGAGTAGGTAGAAGACCATCAAAGCCCCCAAAGAAACCTTGAGCCCTCTACATACGGAACAATCCCCTGTGAATGTCCCAGGAGGCTGGGGAAGATGGACAGACAGGCAGCTGTAAGGGGGGATTGTAGTGGGAGTGGCAGGGAAAGAACACGAAAGACTGGAGTTTCTTGCAGGGGCTTCACCGAGTTTCCTCTCTTTGGCCCAGGCTCCCAGTGAGATGAGAAGAGGTCCATGGCTGCAAACAGCTGTTAGATGTAGAGATCCGTCTCTATGGCAGCAGGGGTAAAGATGACACTCTGCCAGAGTGGTTGGTCTCAGGCTAATAGGAACTGTCCTGCAAATCTGCTTTTGCAGCTTTTTGGACCCATGAACACATCAGAATGGGAGCTTTTCAAAATACTTTTTAATATCTATTTCAGGTGTATGAGTGTTTTGCACACATATATGTGTATACAGCACCTTCATGCCTGCTGCCCTTGGAGACCCGAAGAGGTATCAGAGCTCCTGGAACTATAGTCCCAGACAGTTGTGACCCAGCGTGTGGGTGCTGGGAGCTGAACCAGTGTCCTCCTCAAGCCATCAATCTATCTCCAGCTCTCTGAATGGGAGCTTCGAAGTCATATGGTTCAGCATGGTCTCTGTTCTCTTCCTCCTCAGACACCCTGTACAGAGAAGGCAACGGAACCCAGAAGGAAGTAGGGGGAGCTAGCTGTCTGAGGTCACGCAACCCAGCTGGAGCTGAGAGCACACTTCAGTCACCTACTCCTGTGACATGGAGTGGGCCTGGCCAAGGCGGGCAGTGCCGGAGGAGGGGGCTGTGGTGCTCTGCCTCGGGAAGTAGAGGATGATGAACCAGCAGAATATGAAGACGCCTGTGGTAAAGAGAGGGTTTCGGTGAGCCTGGGACAGGCTGCGGCAAAGCAGGGGCTCCACTCTAAAGTCAGGCACTTGACTAAAGAATTAGGTAAAATGGAATCTATTCCTGAAATAGAACCAAATAAAACCTTAGAGACCACAAACACCAGCCTTGAGGTAATCTCCACACATACCTACCACAGCAAAGGAAGAGCAAAACAGAGGCATTCGCTGGGCGGTGGTGGCGCACGCCTTTAATCCCAGCACTCGGGAGGCAGAGGCAGGCAGATCTCTGTGAGTTCGAGATCAGCCTGGTCTACAAGAGCTAGTGCCAGGACAGGCTCCAAAGCTACAGAGAAACCCTGTCTCAAAAAACAAAAAAAACAAACAAACAAACAAAAAAAAAAAAACAGAGGCATTCCCAGCTATATAAACCAACGCCACTGCCACACCGGGCTCATCACACAGGCTCGCCTCACCACACTCCCCACCATCCTCCTGTGAAGGACGGCTACAGGGTGCCTGCCAGCAGGATGATAAGGGAAGGCGTAGTAGCGTATAAAAACTAGAGGAAGGGCAGAATTGACTGGGAAGTACAACTGTGTGTCTGAAGGGAATTCATAATGAAAACGCCACACAACGGTAACCATATTGAGACACTAAAAGGTACCAAGGGCTCTGTCTGTTGTACGTGGAGGGAAAACCAAATAACTTAGACTCATCAGAGTGAGACACACAGGCTTCAATATTAATGTAGCCCATGCAAGAATAGTGAGATTAGCCAGGTGGTGGTGGTGCATACCTTTAATCTCAGCACTCAGGAGGCAGAGGCAAGCGGATCTCTGTAAATTTGAGGTCAACCTGGTTTACAAAGCAAGTTCTAGGTCAGCCAGAGTCATTACACAGAGAAACCCTGTCTCAAAAACAAAATAAAGCAAACAAGCGAAAAAGAATAATGATGTCATCTCTTAGTTCAAGATGCCTCTCTCCCCAATTCCAAACCTCTGGGATATTCCAAATATGAACTAATGATTATTTATCTGGAGACTATCTCAGATAGTCCTAATGCAATTGTGTGTGTGTGTGTGTGTCTGTGTCTGTATATTGTTTTTTAAGATTGACTATGTGTGTGTGTGTGTGTGTGTTTTATCTGCATGTATGTATGTGGACCAGGTATCTGCGAAAGCTATAGGTACTGGATTCACAAGAACTGAAATTACAGATAGTTGTGACCTCCCAGGGGGTATTGGGAACTGAACCTGGGTTTTCTATGATAGCAGCAAATGCTCTCACCCACTGACCCATCTCTCCCGCCCATTTTTAATTTATTATTTTAGTTAACATACAAAAAAAGTAGATTTTACTGTAACATTTTCTTTTCTTTTAAGAAAAAGTTTTTTTTTTTTTAATCTTATGCATATGAATGTTTGTGCCTGCATGTAAGTGTGCCCAGTGCCAGAAGAGGGCACTTGCTTCCCTGGAACTGGAGTTACAGAGGTTGTGAGCTGCCATGTGGCTGCTGGGAACCAAACCTGGGTTCTCTGGAAGAGCAGCCAGTGCTCTCAGCCACTGCGCCACCTCTCCAGGTGCTCACCATGACTTTTTCGTACATAATTTGTTTTGGGTGCTCTCTCCCTCTCCACCTCTGTCTCCCAGCTTGTACCTTTCACCCCAGCCGTCCCTGTCTACTCTCATGCTCCACGTATTCCACTTCCTTCTCCCCACCCTCTTCCTTTAAACCTTTTTCCTTCCCATGGTCCCTTTCTTTGCCCACGCCCCACATACATACATGTATCAAACTGAAAGCTAGGACCTTAACGTGAGAGTGTCTGTGGTATGTGGCTTCCACTGCAGACAATATGGTGCCCCTAAAGATGAGAGGCTTGGCTAACAGCACCGATCTTCACCTGGACCAGCAGATGCCAGCATGTAACCAAACCCAGAGTAGAATTTTGGTGGATCTCTCCTTCCCTGCCTTAAACTGGGTACTTCAACTGTGTACACAGACATGCTGAACGTTTAAGGAGTGTACGTCTAAAATGGCAATCCTCCCTCAAGGCTGATGTAATCAGTAGATTATTAACCAGCAGCCTTTGCAGGGTCCTGTTCCCAAGCAGGGGAGCAATGCTGGCCGTCTCAACAGTCACGGCCCAATACACAGACCTAACATGCATTCTTCCCCCCCCTGCACCCCCCCCCATCTTCCTGACCTGCCATTTTCTGAGTCTTCCTCTCCTGTAGTCACCTTGGATTCTTGGAACAATGAGTCTAACCAATGAGCATCTTGTGACAAAAGCTAATGTTACTCCACTTTCTCACTGCAGACAGCTCCCTGAATAACTGTCCTAAAGTAATGATTAACAAGGTCCTGACTGTGCATGCTGCTTGCCCGGTCTTTTGTTTCCTCTGCGTGCCAGGCCAAGGCTGACATCACCCTGAAGTCAGGGCAGAGGATGCTGTTCCTCCTGCTCCTCCAGGGTAGCTATTCTCAGTGTACCCCCTTTCTGTTTCATCTGGTTGACTGGGCAAGTGGCTATGTGCGCTCTCCAGAGGAAGCCAGGCCTCTGGCTCAGGATGCTGGTGATACGCCAGTGCATGGAAGACCTCCTGGGTCCCACGCACGCACACATTCGTTGTGAAAACTGGGCTGAGGGAGGGACAAGGCCGCTCTGACTTAGAGATGAGTGAGGATGAGAAGTACTGACTGTCTGGTGGAGTTGGGGGTGGGCAATGGTTAACACTGTCCCCTTGACAGGATCAAGACTCACTTAGGAGACAAGCCCCTAGGCGTGCCTCTAAGGAATTTTGTAGCTCAAGTTGATTCAGGTGGGAAGACCCACCCTAAAAGTAGGGGGCACCGTTCCAAGGGCCTTGAAGAAATCTCAAAGAGGTCTGGTGACGCGGTTCAGTGGTTAAGGTGCTTGCCAGAAAACCCGACCGCAGGGACTCTATACCTGGGACCACATGGTGGAAGGAGAAAACCCACTTCCACAGGTTGTCCTCTGACCACCACAGGTGCATGCATTCATGCACAAATAAATAAACCAATACAATTCTAATAATTAGAAAGAGAGAGCTAAGTGCTTGCACCTGTCTGTCTCCCATGTCCTGATGCAGGTATGATGTGAGCAGCTGCATCACGCCTTCTCCATCACAGGGTCTGCACTCGTGAGATGTGAGCCAAGGGGAGGCCTTTAGTAAGCTGCTTTTCTTGGGCATTTTGTTGTAGCAATTTTTAAAAAATTAAATACATTAAAAACTTCTTTAGAATTCTACGTCCTGTAGAATCACATGGCCCTGCCTTCCTAGATAAGACTGGTTAGGACTAGCGGTGGTCACCTGATTCAGAGGCTTGAAGGAGTCATGTTAGGCAGTCATTTTGGAAAGCAGAGAGAGACAGAGTTGCCACAGAGCCTAGGTAGAAGACAACACTCAGCTCCAGAACAGAAGGTGGGAATATCTGCTTTGATTTATGTGGCTTTTCCTGATCCTGGCCCCGGTGACACCAGCCACCCTTGCTGCCCTAAATCCCACATGAGTCTTGCATATCTAAAATTAGCACCTTTGACTTGAGTTGGTTTCTGTGGGATCCTGTGTCCTGGAAAGTGCCCTCCCTGCCCCCCAGGTACCCCTGGTGCCGACGAGACAGCCTCACCTTGCAGCGAGTTGAAGAGGGCAAAGATGTAGATGGTGGACAACCCCAGGGGCGTGAGCACAGCCAGCCCCCAGGTCATGCCCACCAGGCTCGAGAGGCCCAGAACAGTGAAGACCGACCTCCAGGTCTGCCCCTGTTCTTTGCCCGCTGTGACACTGGGCAGCGTGAAGATCTTCCAGGCCACCAGAGCCAGCACCACAGCTCCAAAGAGGAAGCTGACAAGGAAGTAGCCGTGGACGGTGGCATAAAGAGCAGGTTCTTTCTGGAACCAGCACCTGAAGGAAGAGGAGGAGGAGGAGGAGGAGGAGGAGGACAGCCGCTGGGGCTGAGTAGGAAGCCCCTGTCCATTGGGCCCCAGGAAGCTTTCCTGGCTGATCTTCAGTGACAGAAGATACCCCCCCCCAACTGCCCCATCTTTCCTGGACTGCGTCCCTTATTTCGCTTTCTGACTCCAGACTTCCATTTGCCTCCTGTGTTACAGTCAGCTGGATCTGAACATCCTTAGCATTGTCGTTCTCCTCCTAAGGCCCCCTCCCCTCACTCTCTCCCTCCCAGGAAACCAAAGACCTCCACACCCTCTGTTCCCCACAGCCCCACTCACAGCTCCAGAGAGGTGCGGTTCTCCTGGTCGCGGATAGTGTAAACACCATAACTGTTGCTACTCCCAACACCAATGACCACAAGAGCAGGCAAGCCTGGGGCAAGGGGAGGAGGTGGGCATCACCAGTGCTCCCTTGGGTGAGCTCGTCTCAAAGCCCTGCAGCCGTCCATCCCGCAAGCTTTGGGCTTCCATAGGTTCTACCTCCTTAGCCCTCTAACCTGCCTTCTACCCCTCCAGCCTGTGCTTACCCCAGCCCAGCAGGCTCAGCTTCAGGAAGTAGTGTCCAAAGTAGGTATTGAAGACCCTGATGGCCAGCAGGTAGAGGTGGAAGGCCTCCAGGCCCATCCAGGTGAAGACACACAGCAGGAAGTAGTGGAAGATGGCAGCTCGCACCCCACAGGAAGATGGGGGGCCTTGAGAGCCGCTTCCCACACTGATCAAGAAGGTAAGATTCAGGAGAAATAGGCTGCTGCTCAGAGCCATGTGGATCTTAGGGGCATCTTCAGACTTGAACCTCTGCAGAGAGAGCCTGGGAGAGAAGGACAATGACGGAGTTTTGTTTTCTCCTGTCTCCCAGGTTTGACCATGCAGGTATTTCCCAATAGCACAGTGAAATTCTCTGCTACCTCGCCACAGGAGATCCACCCATGCTGGGCACAGGAGGCAGGAAGCTCTGGGTATGTGAGTTGGGTGAGCAGATGTGGGCAAACGGGTGAGGCCTAGAATGTAGCAGTGAGCAGGGCTGGGGGAGGGCCAGAGACTTGCTCAGGGTCCCAGAGTCTCTACCCAGCCAGTGCGCCCTGCTTCTCTGTGGGACTTCTTGCCACTCTGATTTCCTAGCAATAAAGACCAGGAGGCCTCCCACTCGAGAGTCAGAGCCTACAGTTTTCTGGAGTGGAGATAAGAGGCATGTCTACCCAAGCTACTAGGCTCCGGTGTTGGAAGCTGGCAACCGTTTCCTCTAGCGCTCCAGGCTCTGCTCAAGGATCCAGCAGCATGGTTAGCTGGTGAGGTACACTCAGCTCATTGAGAATGGGAACGGGCTAGCGACTGTGTTCTAGGCCAGTGCTTGGAGGGGTGGGAAAGGGGAGGGATGGCGTGGGAGCAGCACACAGGGGCTGAAGCCCAGGGCTACTCGGTGACAGAGGCACATGAGAAAGACAGAGGGTCCCTGGACTGGAAAGATGGGAAGGTCACGTCAGCAGGTATGGGATGTCATTGGTGGCAGGGCTATCTGTCCCGTGCCTGTTCCTTGCTGGAGAAACTTGCATGTCCCTGAAGGGGCACTCTTCCCCACCTTCAGCCACAAGGAACTAGGAAGGTGGTTGTTAGTCTCTTGCCATTTAAATCCAAGAGTAGTCAAATGGCTTGGCCGGCCTGTACATTCTACCCTGTGACCATTGTGGCCTGGGTCATCGGCCTGTGATCAAAGTCAGACCCTAAAACAACTAGATATTCATGAGGTAAAGATGCATACACATAGAAGTATGACCCCAGAGTTCTGTGCCTACAGAAGTGCTCAGCCTTCTGCTGCAACTTTGAATACTCTAACAGGGGCCAAGTAGTTTCATTGAGACAGATTGTATCCCCATTCCAGTCGTGGATGTGGGCACACAAACATACATGCATGCACTCACATGCACACACATGCATGCACTTGCATGCACACACATGCATGCATCCCTGCATGCATGCGGCACACACATGCATGCATGCACATATTGATGATGTCTAAAGCAGTGGAACTGAAGGGGTCTTGAGACTACTTAACCATATTCTACCACTGACAGCTTCCTGGCTTTGATGATACTCTACAGTTACATATGACATACTTGGGGAAGTTCCGGGAAGGAGCCACAGACTGTCTGTGCTATTTTTGCAGTTTCCAGTTAGTCTATAATTATTTCAAAATGTTTGCTTTTAAAGACCTCAATTCTGGAGCTTCATCTTTGCTTGAATATCTAAGGAGCCGTTCTTGAGGAAAAGGCTGAAATTAGCATCCTGACAAAGGAGAGAGAAAAGCTGTGGAAGGTAGGGCCAACCCCTGGGGCCTTGGGTGGAGCCCCTAGTTCTAGCCCTGCCTGGGCCACAGGAGGTGAGTTTTCCAGTTCCATGAATCAATCATGCCCTGCGTTCGCCCATCTGAGCTGAATTTCTCCTACTTCCAACTTCAAATGCTAGTCCCACCTTGTCAACTAGCAGACTCAGGACCAGAGAGGGCCACCAGGTGAGGCCACAGGACAAAAATACTTTATCCCTTTCCTGTACCTCCCTGAGGGCATGAGAGAAAGGGGGTGGGGCCGCTCACCTGAGGGCAACATAGAAAACAATGGTGAAGGCCAGGAAGATCGTGGAGACTCCACAGCCTGCTTGGGAGATGCGAGTGAGAGTCTGTGCTGTGGCCAGGTCCAAGATCGGCCTCTGTAATGACCCCAAGTCCACATCACATCACTGAGAGGCCAGGTCCGCACATCTCCCAAACCCCAGCCAGCCAGGAAGCCTCTCCCAGGACAGAGGCTGGACCTCTGAGATCAGGAGGGCATGGGCTGTTACCAGCAGCAAGGCGAAGAAGGTCAAGTGGTCGCAGCGGCAGACAGTCCTCTCATCCCCGAGCTCCGTGGAGCAGCCTTGGGAATCCCAGTCTCCTGGGGGCCACAGAAAAGTAAGGGCGGGGGTGGGGGGAGAAGAAGAGGGAAGGGAGGATCCGCCTCTACCCTCACCTTCAGCCCTATGGAAGCATGTAGCTTCCTTTTTTTCTCATTCTAGAGAAGTCTTCCAGACCTACCTTTAACCACATTCCAGAATACACAAGTGAGGATCATATTCTGAAATCAGAGAGTGCAAGTCAAGAAAGGAAGGAGGGGGAGGCAGGGAGGAGACAGGGTGCTCCCGGGGCCTACATGTGCCTTAAGAGGAAGACCTCTGTAGGCTACACGGGGAGATTGCATGCCTGGGAATCAGTGCTCCCTGGACAGTTGCTGTGCGTGTGGGAAATACAATAAACACGGCACACATAAGAGGGTTTGCCTGTTTGTGCACACATACCTTCAGGACCATTGCCTGCTGGGTATGGAAGCACACACACACATTTATGAACACGGAGATGGGACATATGGGGCATGTGTGTTCACAAGGGCAGGGCAGACAGATGTCTTTGGGCATAATTCTGCACGACCCTGATGGTTTCTTCTGGGTAAAGGGCACAAGGCCCATGCAAGGCTTCTCAGAGCTCAGGTGCTGTGTGCCCTCCGGGAACTGCCAGGCCTGGGCAGAAGACTCACAGGTGGCTGACGCTGGTGGGAGAAGGTGATCTCCACTGGCTCCGTTAGCCCGGTGGCGTGCGTCTGGCCCACACTCAGGCCCACCATGCGGTTGTTCAACACGCTGCTGCCGTTGTCCTGGAGGAGCTTGGGGCCCTAGGAGGCAGTATCAGGAGGCTAGGCTGTAGGAGGGGCTGACCTTATTACCTGCCCTAGCTAGAGAACTCTAGGTTGCCCCCTCACTTGGAGTCAAAGCCTGAAACTAAGGGAGCAGGGATCCAGCAACCCAGGGGCATAGGCAGCCATCCTCCTGCTGCCCCCTATAACATGCTGAGCTAGGCAGAACTAGGATCTAGGCTCTCTATCACCTTGCTGAAAGCCAACCCCTGACATCTCTGAACCGGAAGAGCTTGAGGCTAAGTTTAAGCGGATGGGTGCATGCCTCAGGAGCGCCGTCTGGCATGCGTTGTCCAGGGAGAGCATGTTGGCCCGTGTTGGACAGAGTCATATCTGAGCACACCTGATTACATGTTCTCGGGAATACAAAGTGTGTTTTTGCATGTGCAAGGACACACGAGCATGCATGAGCCCACTTGGACTTCCTACACAGCCAACAGCTACTGATGTCAGGATATTAGAATTGTCTTCAGTCCATAGACTGTAGAAATGGCTCTTGGATGACCTGGCTGCCTTAGGGAACATCCCAGGGAGTCTGGCCCACTGAGTATTTAACTGCAGCTTCCTGAGCTCCCAGCAGGCCTCTTACCTTGAAGACATTCCCCGCACCAATGTCCAGAACAGTTATGGCCAACCGGACGGCAGACCTCTTGCCAGGCAGGAGGGCTCCAAACAGGCTCTTGGGAAGTCGGACTCTGTCAGTGGGCTGGACCTCACCCTGCATCACCTGCTTTGGGATCTGTAACCATGAACCCAGAAGCCCCTCCATTACCTGGAGGATTCCAGCCCCCACTCAGGTGGTGCTACTATCCCCGTTGGGAGAGAAACTGCAGCATGTTGGGAGAAGGGGCAGCATCTGAGGACTTTTAGTTCTGGGGTGGAGGCTCTGCTTCTCGTGGACTAGGCATCAACAGTGGGGCCCAGCTTCCCCATCCCAGGGACCAGCTGAGCGTGACTGTGTTGGTGCAACCGTGCTCTGCTTTTAAGTGTGTGTGTGTGTGGGGCATCCTGGAAAGAAGCTTTCCCTGGTGTGCAAGAGACTTGTATTCACCTTGAGTGTGAAGTCCTTCCTGCCCAACAGTGAAGTGTTATAGGAACCGAGCATAGTTAGAATGTTAGAACAAACCTCCCCAGAAATCACCGGGCATGCTTTGTCTAGTCGCTGGCCTCCTGGGTACCCTGGGGCCTCAGCCTGCACCTGCCAGTTCCCTGCTTCAGAAGGGTCCATGCTCCCGGGAAGAGTTGGGGTTGAAGCCCCAGTTTCACTTTCCTAGTCCAGATCTTGTCAAAAGGACATGTGGGTGATGCCTTGGATCAGTGCATACCCTACGCAGAGGGTACAGCATCATAAATGGCTGAGGATGTTGGGTGATGAGCAACTCAGCAAGATGCCCGGACCTCTGCCCTCAACTTCATCCCTGAGGGAAGACTGAGGACTTGCTGAGCCCTTGCTGTACCATGAATTCTTTGGATATTAAGTCAGATGCTCTTTCCAATATGTTTTTGTTCTGTTGTTTTTGAGACAGAGGCTATCTGGATAGCCTGTGTTTGCCTGGAACTCAGGAGCAATCCTCCTGCCTCTGCCTCCTGAGTACCAGGAGAATGAGTGTGCATCATTCTGCCTGACTTCTGATCTCTTGAAAGTGGGCAATATTCTCACTATTTACAGGCAAGAAAATGGAGGGTCAGAAGAGTAATGTGCCCACAATGGCATGGCTGGTAAGGGCAGAGGTCTTTGAATCTGGGCCAGTGTAAATCTACAGCCTTCCCTCCCATGCGGTTGCTCTGAGGCCAAGTGTGCCCTTACTCTGACTTCAGATGTGCGCTCTGGTAGAGAGGTTAGTGGGCACTTTAGGCTTGGAGGTGCCAGAGATTCATCTTCCAGATGAGCACCCAAGGCCTCTGGGAGAAAGGAGACTTTCTGAGGACATCAAGGGCTGAGAGGGGTGCCAATTCAGGAATCTCCCAGTACCCTGACTCAGGAGGGGTAAGCTTTGATGGATACCACAGAGGCCTGAGCCAGCCACCAGGAAGCTCTTCACCTGGGAGGGCGTCAGAGAGAAGAGCAGGTCTTCTGAGACGTCTGTGCTGACGTTCCGAATCAAGGCCTTAACAAAAGGCTTGTCCACAGTCTCCTTGGAATTCTCCAGCAGGTAGGACTCATAGTTCAGCCAGTATCTGCAAGGGGCAAGGGACCAGGGGAGGAGGAGCTTGTAGGCTGAGCCACCCACTCATCAGGCTCTTGGGATGATAGTTAGCCCAGAATCTCAGAGACTCTGGACTGTTAATGTGAGGAAGAGGAATGGCTTGGAAATTGATCCTGAAGGAGTCGAGCTAGAGATCCCTCTGAATATCTTTTCTTTTCTTTTTTTAAAAAATGTATTTATTTATTAAAGATTTCTGCCTCCTTCCTGCCACTGCCTCCCATTTCCCTTCCCCTCCCCCAATCAAGTCCCCCTCCCTTATCAGCCCAAAGAGCAATCAGGGTTCCCTGCCCTGTGGGAAGTCCAGGGACCACCCACCTCCTTCCAGGTCTAGTTAGGTGAGCATCCAAACTGCCTAGGCTCCCACAAAGCCAATACGTGCAGTAGGATCAAAACCCAGTGCCATTGTTCTTGAGTTCTTAGTTGTCCTCATTGTCTGCTATGTTCAGCAAGTCCGGTTTTATCCCAGGCTTTTTCAGATCCAGGCCAGCTGGCCTTGGTGCCCTCTGAATATCTTAATGTTTGTCTTTCAAAATGCAATATGGATCTTTGGATACCATCATTGATGGGCATATGGATCTTTGTACCTCTGATGGACACACGGCTCTGTGCACCCACCCATGAAGGGCACTTAAATATTTCCCACTGTGCTAGACAGGTTTTGTCAACTTGGCACAAACTAGAGTCACCTGGGAAGAGGGACTGAGAGATTGAGTCCATCATATTGTCCTGCGGGCTTGTCTGTGGGGCATTTTCTTGATTAATGATTGATGTGTGCCCAGTCCACTGTGGGTGGCTCAACCCTGGATGGGTGATCCTGGATTGTATAAGAAAGCAAGCTGAATGAGTCATGGGGAGTGAGCCAGTAAGGAGCCTCCTTCCAAATTCTCTGCTTCAGTTCCTGCCTCTGACTCCCCTCCATGATGATGGCCAAATAAACCCTTTCTTCCCATAAGCTGCTTTGGGCTGTGGTGTTGATCACAGCAACAGAAGGCAAACTAGAGCTTCCACCTTCCAGCTGCTGTGAACAGGGCTGCTGTGCCAACTCACGAGTGCTCGCAGACTTATTTTAAACTCTTTTGGGCACATACACGGGAGTAGAATGGTTAGGTCATATTCTAATTCTCCGTTTCGCTTCCTGAACAGCTACCAGATGGTTTTCCCCAGCAGCTGCACCATTTCCCATCCACACCTGCAGCGTATGAAGGCTCCAGTAGCTCCATAGCCTTGACAACACAATGGTTTGGTTAGTATTGCTTCCACCTGTAGCCATACTTACGGCTATAAAGAGGTGGTGGCTTTGATTTGCATCTTTTTAGTGACCCAGTGAGGTTGAATGTCTTCTCATACTCTTTTGGCTATGCATATCTTATGTGAATGCATCTCTTTGGGCACATTTATCGAGGGCTCATTGTATACTAAAAATTCAGCGTTTAAAAACTGAGCCACAGGCCAGCAAGAGGCCTCAGAAGACAAAGGCACATGCTGAGCAAGCCTGACGACCTGAGTTTGATTCCTGGAACCCACATAAAGGCAGAAAGGAAGAACTGACTGGACAGACTTGTTGTCTGACCTCCACATGTGTGCAGTGACATGTGTGCCCCTACCCACACCATAAAACACAATAATAAATATACTTTGGGTTTTTAAAAACAGGTCTCATGTAGCCTTATAGACCAAGCTGGCCTTAAATTCATAGATACACTTGCCACTGCCTCTCAAGTGCTGGAATTAAAGTCATGTGCCATGATACCTGGCTTAAATAAATGTATGTGTGTATTAAAAAAAAGTGGCATAATGCACTCCTTTAATCCATGCACTTGGGAGGCAGAGGGAAGCAGATATCTGAGTTCAAGGCCAGCTTGGTCTACAGAACAAATTGTAGGACAGTCAGTACTACACAGAGAAACACTGTCTGGAAAAAAAAAAAAAAAAAGAAAGAAGGCCATGGGAGCAGGCTCAAGCCAGCAACCCCCGCCCAGCAGACCTGAGGCAGTAACTTCCATAGGAGGAGGTACAAGGGAACAACCGCTGAGGGAACAGGCCCAAGCCAGAGACCTCTGTGGGGCACATGCAAGTCAGGGACCTCTGAGGGAGCAGGCCTGAGCCAGGGACATTTGTGGGAACAGGCCTGAACCAGCGACCTCTGCCAGAGCAGGCCTGAGTCAGCTACCTCAGCCAGAGCAGGCCCAAGCCAGAGACCTCTGTGGGACTGGGCATGAATCAGTGACCTCTCCACCAAAGCAGGTCCACACCAGTGACTTCCACCAGAGCAGGCCTGAGCCAGTGACCTCTACCAGAGCAGGCCCAAGGCAGTGACCTCAGTGGCAGCCCCAAGCAAGCAACCTCTGTGGGAGCAAGCACGAATGACCACCAGTATTGCAGAGCAACCCCTGGGAGTGCTGAGTGACCTCCAGGAACACTGAGTGACCTCTGGGGTGACTGGAACTGTGGATCTGATTGCACCATGAGGAGCAACCATCTGGGCCTTGGATCCACTGGCACCTGGAAGATTGATGACCAGAAACACAGCCCCAACTACGCCATTTGGAGGAAAAGATGGGTAGACAAGGTAAGAACACACTCACCACCACAAAGAGCAATATGACACCAATAACTAGTGGCCCTACAACTAAATATAAATTAAGCAGAAGCAAATGACCTAAAAAATAACTTTAGGAGAATGTTTGAGGCCATTAAAGAGGAAATAAAAAATTCCCTCAAAGAAATGGAGGAAAAGACAAACAAAAATTGGAAGAAATCAACAAATCCCTTAAAGAAAACCAAGAAAAAGCAATCAGACAGATGAAGAAAACTATTCAAGACATGAAAACTGAAATAGAGACAATAAAGAAAACACAAACAGAGGGAATGATAGAAATGGAATTTATGAGAAAATGATTGGGAACCACAAATGCAAGCATAAACAGCAGAATACAAGAGATGGGAGAGAGAATCTCAAGCACTGAAGATACAATAAAGGAAATGGACTCATTAGTCAAAGAAAATATTAAATCTAACAAAAGTTTAACACAAAATATTCAGGAAATATGGGATACCATGTAAGGACAAAACCTAAGAATAATAGGGATAGAAGAAGGAAAAGAAGTTCAACTCATAAGCACAGAACATATATTCAACAAAATCATAGAAGAAAATATTCCCAACCTAAAGAAAGATATGCATATGAAGATACAAGAAGCTTACCGAACATCAAATAGACTGGATCAAAAAAAGTCCCCTCACCACATAATAGTCAAAACACTAAATATACAGAATAAAGAAAGAATATTAAAAGTTGCAAAAGAAAGAGGCCAAGTAACATATAAAGGCAAACCTGTCAGAATTACCTCTGACTTCTCAATGGAAACAATGAAAGCCAGAAGGTCCTGGTCAATCATTACGCAGACATTAAGAGACCATGAATGCCAGCCCAGACTACTATACCCAACAAAACTTTCAATCACCATAAATGGACAAAACAAGATATTCCATGACAGAACCAGATTTAACCAATACCTAGCCACAAACCCAGCCCTATACAAAGTACTAGAAGGAAAACTCCAACACAAGGAAGTGACTACATCCACAAAAACACAGGTAATAGATGATCTCACAGCAGCAAATCCCAAAGAAGGAAAAAAAAACACACAATAACATCACCAACAACAAAAACTAAAATAACAGGAGCTAGCAATCCCTGGCAATCACCTATAAAAAGGCACAGGCTAACAGACTGGATATGGAAACAGAATCCATTCTTCTGCTGTATACCTGAAGCACAACTCAACCTCAAAGACAGACATCACCTCAGAGTAAAGGGATGGGATTTTTTAAGTCAAATGGACCTAAGAAACAAGCTGGTGGGGGCTGGAGAGATGGCTCAGTGGTTAAGAGCATTGCTCTCACAACCATCTGTAAAGAGGTCTGGTGCCCTCTTCTGGCTGCAAACATATACACAGACAGAATATTGTATACATAATAAATAAATAATTTTTAAAAAAAGAAACAAGCTGGTGTAGCTATCCTAATATTTAACAAAATAGATTTCAAACTAGAAAGAAAGAAGGAAAGGAAGAAACAGAAAGAAAGGAGGGAGGGAGGGAGGGAGGGAGGAAAGGAAGGAAGGAAGGAAGGAAGGAAGGAAGGAAGGAAGGAAGGAAGGAAGGAAGGAAGGGAAAAAGAGAGAGAAAACTGGGCCACATGGGACTTGACTGCCTGAAAGCAGAGGGTATTAGAGACAACACAAAGGCTGCTGTCTCTCATTCTGTAAAGAAGGGCTGGTGTCACTCTCCGTGGTGCTGAAATTTAGAACCTTCTCTGTGCTTGGGTCTCTTTCCTTAGCCTGGGCCCAAATTGTTGCCTTCTTATTGTCTTCCTAGTGCTGGGATCACAAGCCTCTTTCTTTCTTTCTTTCTTTCTTTCTTTCTTTCTTTCTTTCTTTCTTTCTCTCTCTCTCTCTCTCTCTCTCTCTCTCTCTTTCTTTCTTTTTTCTTGGTTTTTAGAGACAAAGTTTCTCTGTGTAACAGCCTTAGCTGTCCTGGAACTAGCTCTTGTAGATCAGGCTGGCCTCGAACTCACAGAGATCCACCTGTTTCTGCCTCCTGAGTGCTGAGATTAAAGGCACGACCACCACCACTGCCTGGTTAAAATCTTCTACAATTACTTTATTTGTTTATTATGTGAGTGACACTGCATCTGGAGGTCAGAGGACAACTTGCAGGGATTGGTTCTCTCATTCTACTCTGTGGGTCCTGGGAATTGATGTCAGGTTGTCCAGCTTGTGTGTCAAGAGCTTTTACCTTCTAAGCCACTTCTCTAGCACTTCTCCCGCCCACTTCTTAAAGATGTAGTCCTGGAGATCAGGACTCAGGTCTTCATGCTTGTACACCACAACTTACTGACCTCTCTCCAGTCCTCTATTCACTAGTCACCTTTCCAAGAAACCCTGAACAGGTGAAGGCTGAGGTAGTG